CGCATGCAGTGGGGTGCCCCGGCGAGGGTGGCTGGCGCTGCTGCTGTTGATAGCTCCGTGAAAGTGTGGGGCGCCCACCATTTTGGGGACTATTTTGGGGACTGTTGTGGGTCGCGGCAGGCTTTGAGTCTTGGCGACTGACCAAGGAGCCCCATCAAGTAGAGGTGCGAAGGAGCGAAACGATGTGTCACTTGCTAATTTACCTTATTGGATTATAGTAGGCCTGTTGTAACCTTACTGTATATAGTGTAGCATATGGTATGGTTTGCCCTATTGTATGAAGTATTGTATGGAGCACAGAGGTGTGGTGGCTGTCTTGCTCCGTGATGAGCTTCACCATCTTCTTACCCAAGCTTCTGATGAACTGGCTCACACTGGATGCTGGGCTTGCCCCTTGGAGGACATTTTTGAAAGCTCCTCTATAAATACTTATTTTTTTAAATTTAAACTGAGTTGTGGCTTCACAAGCAATAGTGTTTACGCAGCTAGGCAAGCTATCTAAAATTCAAAACAGCAAGACTGGTGGGTTTTCCTGCCCATGCTGAATTGGGTAAATAAAATCCACGAGGAGCCCTTCAGAGGGCTCTGTGTAGCCTGTTCCTTTAGACACTGTGTAAGTTCAGCAATCATTACGTTGAAGAGCTTCTTCTGTATATGAAATACCATTATTTCCCTACCCAGTGGGAAAGTTACAGAACTGAAGGGAGGATGAGCAGGCGTTACAGAGATTTAGAAGCTCTTTAGGTGGCACGGTTATGGTGAGGAGCAGCGTGCCAGGGAGCTTTTTCTACAGAGGGATAAGATGGGTCTTTATTTAGGTCCCCAATTTTGCTTCTGGATGCACTGTGCCATAGTAATGCAGCTTTACTCTGTTCCTCTACTTTAGTTGAACACAAGGTCCTTAATTTTAAAAACAGTTTTTATCTCCTTAATGTTGACCGTGAAGGGCCTGGAGAACTTGAGTTCTGAAAAAAGTCATAGGCAGTTGCAGACCTGTGGCACTGCTGGCCTAGAGAACAGCTTTCCTATATAATCCCTTAAATTCTTTCTTTAAATTCTATTTGATCTTACATAAAACATCAGTCCTTTTTTGGATGGCCATACATTGCACATTAATTTTGTCTCTGACCCAAATCACTTCTTTTCTTACCTGTTTTAGAAAGAGCCCACTTGGGTAGTTTCAGAGTACTTTTAGCTGTAACAGTATGTTGCCTGTCTTTTTTTTTTTTTTTTTGGTAGTTATGAGAGAAGACAGTATTTTTCCTCTCTCACTGCAGTTTCTGTAATTGTAGGACTTACAGTCCACACACCTCACTGGTAATTAAAGTGCAGAACCAACAACGTGGTGTAATAGAGAAAATTTAGGTTTACTACATTTTTAGGACATTTTGTGTGTACTTTCATATGCCGGCCTATTTAACAAGCTGTCTTTTGACACCTACTCGCCTGCTCCAAAAAAGATTCCCTTAAAGCCCCTATGTCATTTTCTAGAAATACAACTTCAAAGTGTTGGATTAGCTCTGAGTTATTGACTCCTGTCAGTGTAAACTGGATTCATATTTGTGATGTGCCCCCTAATATAGTTTGAAATTTTACTGTTTCATGCTTACAGAAAGCACTAAGATGTTTCTAATAATCCAATGGATACCAAATAGTAACATCAATTACTAATATCTACAGGCAACAACATGTAGTGGAGTTTTGAATGCTTCATCATATCTGCCATGCAAAGAGAAATTAATTTAACTTGTTGGACTCTGGATTAAGTCAAAATTTTAAAAAGTTTTGTCTTAATCTACCACCTAGGGAAACATTACCTGTGTTGCAGAACTGCAATTGGTTGTTTTCACTCTAGAAGCAGCGAAGCAGAGAACAGCAGAAACGTCATTTTGGAGGATGTATGAACGCTGGCCGAGCATAGATCCTCTACTTGGCTTCAGACAGTTACATGTTTGCTGAAACACCATATTCTGCCACGGGTAGTTCTCAATCCTTTAAGTGGAGGTAGTAGACTCAGTTCATGTTATTGTAGTTCAGATGTTTCCTACTGAGGCAACTGGAAATTTGCCTGATGTGGGCTAGCAGGATTTAGACCCTTGGAAATGTTGAGGAGTGTGTGAGGTATGTGACCAAGCTGCTCAGCAGTAGAATGACTGATTTACGTACCTGAAATGTCTGAAGGCATCGTGTAAGAAGTGGTCAAACCATCCAGTCTTTCTTGCTGGCCATACAACATGGCGTGGCGGAGGCCAGTGCCTTACCACGGTCGCTGACAGTGCTTCCTATCGAAGCAGCCCCGTGAGGCTGGCCCCTAATTATTTGCTTTTGGCTCCTTCTGAAAATGGTGCACTCTGTTCCCTACTGCTTTAGTGAACTCTTTGTCACATCTCAGTTTTTCCTTTCTTTAAACCCCACTGTTTTCATACATTCTTTAACTCAAATGTGTTTACAACTTAAATGTTCACGTTTTTTTTCTTCCTGGCAGGACTTGTTGCCACCCCCCCATTGTCCTCAAAAACCCAAGGATAGGTATGCTGAAGGAAGACTGTGTGTGGTCAAAATGTCACTGCACTCCAGCTAATTCTGGCTGCTAGAATTGTCCCTGGGGGCAATAGGCAGCTGGACATAATTTAGAGCAGGCTGAGATTGATACTAGAGGCTAGCCCGAAAATGAGGAAAACAAAATTGCAGTTTAATCTCTTCTACTCCCAGATCTGACCCCCTTTTCCTGTTTCAAACATAGCTCACTAGAACAGAAAATCAAGCACACGGAGAATTTAAGCAACTTTTATTTGTCAGCTCAGGGGAATATCAACGTCAGTTTAAGATGATTTCTTTTCCCGAGCATGTCATATCAAGTAATGCTGGAGTTGTCTAAAGTAAGAGCTGGAATGGTGGAGATGTTATTTTCATGTTGGACTCACAGGAATTTTAGAACATAAATTATTTTGATAACATGGCAGGCTGCCTTTCTGCCACACTGCCTGCAAATGTCAAAATTTTTTCCACGTTTCAACTTGGAAATGACATAGTGTTGGTGAAGGATAAATCGTGAATTACATGTCTGACTTTATTGCTGATTAAATATGACAAATGTTGAACTTTTATTTGAGGTAAGATTTTACAAGTTTATTTATCTTCAGGGGAGGTATTGTGAGCATATTGTATGTGGCGTGAGGTGTTGCTTTGCTGTAAACTTAACTTGAAAGAAGAACTGTGGTAGCAAATTACTCTCCCTTTTCATAGAAAGCGAACAGTGAGAGATAAAAATGTGTCACATCAGTTTCTGATCATAGATGTTGAAATTACAAAAAGTTGATAAGGCCCAAAACGTCAGTAGCAAAGGAGAGAGAACATATTTCCTCCTTCTTAAGCCTCTCATTAAAATTAACCATATACCTATTGTTATTACTTGTTTGCTGCTTTGTATTACAGTAGAGTACATAGGTGACAGATGATGGAAACACAGAATTAGAGAAAACTTGCAATTTGGTGAGGAAAAACACATGAGAGTTGGATTAGAAAATCTAGTAGCCTAGAATTTCAACCTTCATTTTGCTAAAGTTATCTCCTGTAAGAGAGATCTTGCATGAGTTTTGTTGTACTGAGGCCTTTGGCTAACTTAGGCTAACCTGTGATTTCATTTCTAAATGTCTAACAGTGCTCTGAGGATATGAAAGTATAATGTTCTTGCCATTTTTTATTTTAACTTTTGCTAAAGACCAAGCATGTGGTTTGCGTGCAATTTATCAAGCATGCAATTTGCTTTTCTCTGGCAATTTATAGGCATGTGATCTTATACTTTGTATGTTTCTGTAAACTCCAGCAGAAATTTGAATGCCCGGAGAATGTGGTGATTGTATTCTCACCAGAGTCCTCTGATGGTAAAAGAAAATGTGACTGAGAGAGC